AAATACCATTAACAACCATTTTCTATAATATATTGTGAGAGTTCATATTATTATCTGAATGAAATAAACGTTTTGTTATTACAAAATGTTCTCCATTGGGATAATTACAATGAATGAATGACAGTTTTGAGCGTAGAGCATTGTCGAATAGCCTCATTACATCGCGTAATCGCTGTCGTTTCCTTTTTCGAACCAAGAAGAGGGCTGAGACAAATGATATTTTAAGCTAATTTTATTGTTTGTTGATTGGCATACCATTTTCTCTACACATACACACGCACAGACACACATACACACACACACACTCACACACCCACACACACAAAAAAACACACAAACACACACACACACACAGAAAAAAAATAAAAAACACAAAAACACAAACACACAAACACACACACACACACACACACACACACACACACACACACACACACACACACACACACACACACACACACACACACACACACACACACACACACACATATACGTGTCTACATGTGTGTGTATGTATACGTGAATATTCATCGGTGTTGATATATTTTTTTCTGCATGGGAGTATACTAATAAGTAGGAATGCTTTATCCTATCCTCACTTTCTGTGCAAAAATGTGTCTCCCGCTGATAAAGACAAAACGACCACGAGAGCTTAATAAACCAGGGAGGGAGCGAGATGAGGAGAGCTCCATTATCGTAAAATGCGCCGATATTCCTTGGAGGCGCCACGCAGGCTGCACGTTACTCTTTCACACACATAAACACGCACCCAAGCAGTGCATGCAAACATGCATGTAGATATGCATATATATACGCACATATATAGATACATGTATATATATACATATATATATATATGTATGTATATATATGTATGTATATATATGTATATATGTACATATATATCTATATCTATATCTATTTATCTATCTATATGTGTGTGTGTGTATATAATTTCATCTATCCGTATGTGTATATATACATATATATATATATATATATATATATATATATATATATATATATATATATATATATATATATATACATACATGCACACACACTCGTGTGTATGTATATGTATGTGCGTGTATAATTTCATCTATCCGTATATATATATACAAATACACACACACACACGTGAGAGAGAGAGAGGGGAGAGAGAGGGAGAGAGGGAGAGAGGGAGAAAGGGAGAGAGGGAGAGAGAGAGAGAGAGAGAGAGAGAGAGAGAGAGAGAGAGAGGAGGAGAGAGAGAGAGAGAGAGAGAGAGAGAGAGAGAGAGAGAGAGAGAGAGAGAGAGAGAGAGAGAGAGAGAGAGAGAGAGAGAGAGAGAGAGAGAGAGAGAGAGAGAGAGAGAGAGAGAGAGATCCAAAAACTTTCCTCGTAGTATATAGTGCTCACAAAGTGTAGAGGAAAGAGTCTATTGGTAATTGTATGGGCAAACTTTCAGGCCGCGGGCTAAGGCTCGATACATGGTCACGCGGCAAAATCTACCTAAGTCTCCCCGAAGTTTTTATCACGAGTTTCAAAACACCGATAGCAAACACTTACATTTGATCAGAATTTAAGTAATATTCTTTCTGATATTTATAGATTATATTTTTATTTGTAGTGCTTTTAATTCATAGGCTTATTCATACATCTGGCAATCTTTCCCGCGCTGTGTGCTGCGCGGGATGTGATTGGACGAGGCGGCAGGAAGGCGGAGTCACATTGCAGTCTTGCAGTTGGATATATTCAAAGCAGAAAATCAGGATTATTCTTTTGTCTATCTAAATGTAGACAGACACGTATAGATTTGCTAGGTTTCCCTTTATGTGGCAATTTACCTCTCCATTCCCTTAGGCGACAGAAGTAACGTGAAAAATGAGGCGGAAATGTTAAAGGGTTAAGCGCCAGGCAAAACTCGCCTTACGGACTTCACTCTCCAGAGGCGACAGGTAAGAAATGACAGACAAACACATGGGGGCTTAACGGGCGGCGGAGTTTCTTATTAAGCAAGGTAGTCTCGGGGATCGTAGTGCTAGCGAAGGCATCGGAGTTGGCGAACGCGGCCGTTAGTTCTCGGGACCGTCTGACGGAGCGGCGCGGAAGGGAGCCGAGAGAGCGCGGGGATCGTTGCCCCCTGTGGCGTCTGCGCTCCTTGGTACTGTGGTGCAGGTGTTAAGCAGATTCGATTGCGCTGTGCTGTGTTGATTACTGTTGACGTGGAGGTGTTAAAATAGCGTCTGCTTCTGGTCATGTGTGCGAAAAAAAGACTGAGTAGCATCCATTTTACTTTTGAAACACGGAATTGCAAAGCTATTGGTAAATGTGAGCAAGAGTGTGAAAAGGTACTTGTGTTAGTTATCGCTGTTACGTCCAGACGCTGTAACCGCGGTATACCATAGCATCTGTACCCACCCTAATCATGCTTATTACGACTGCCCTTTGATATTTCCGTAACACCATTTATCAGGAATTCATCAGTTTATCATTTCGCCGTTCACCTTCAGCTACA